TCAGGAACCACTGTGAATGGACCCCAGACCTCATTTTCTTGCATGCCACCTTTTAGTTGCTTTTATTACTCCCAGATGCGTGTCTTCCCTGAACTTTATCCCAGTTATGTGACTCTGCTACGTACTCTGCGTCAGACTCGTCTATGTCCAACCCTTCCAGCAAGTTCTCTGTTAGAGCCAATCTTTTCTTTGTCTTTCTGAGCCCCTGGGAAAACCCAGCTACTCCAGACATTAGTCAGCACTATCTGGCTTCACTAATTCCAGTCTAGATAGATGATAGAAGCAATAGAATCACTGAAGACTGAGCATTCTCTTGCTTCTCTTACTCCAAAGATAAACTTTTAAAGCTGGATTTTAAAGAAATTGTTAATCTTTGTTTATTTTGTGAGGAGCTGCAGCCTATGTGTGGAGGTCAGAGGACAACTTGAAAAAGTTGATTTTCTCCTTCTATCACATGGGGTTCTGGGTTCGACTCAGGTCACCCAGCTTGGCAGCAGACTCCTTCATCTGCTGAACCATCTCACTGGCCCTGATTTTTATGATTTATTTTTAATTTTGTGTGTGTGTGTGTGTGTGTGCACATGAGTACAGCTGCCCATAGAATTCAGAGGCATTGGATCCCCCTGGAACTGGAATAACAGGCAGCTGGGTGCCATTTAATATGGGGGCTGAGAACCAAGCCAGCTCGTCTACAGGAGTGTGTACTCTTTATCACTGAGCTAATCCCTGGCCCAGGATTTTTATATATATGAAACTTCAGCCTTTTCTTCCCTTACCTCCATTTTAAACCAACATTGACATATTTAAATTTAAGCCAAGTTGTCTCTTGTTCCAAGGAGGGCTTTGTGTGGTCTGTTCTTCCCTCCAGGCTTCTTTATCCTTAAGCTACCACTCATTAGGCATGCAGTGTCAGTCAGGTGGACAGCTACATTTCTTTGTCCTTGTTTGTTAGATCTGGAATGGAACTTTTTCAGAGAGGCCAAATTAAACTGGAATGAACACAGGAAAAAAACTTGAGTGAAGAAAAGTACTTGCTTCTTTGGTTTCTTTTATACGTGTAAGTTATAAAATACTGTATTTTTATCACAATTTTTACATTTCATGTAAATAAACTGTATACCTTCATGAGTTTATGGCACAATAGGCTGATGGTCATGGAGAGTAATGATCCACACTGTGGACAGATTGATAGCTGCCTCATACTGGCTTCTTTGCCCTCAGTCTCTTAAACTAATCCCTTGAAATTATTTGTTCATCAGGCAACTGAGGACTGTCATTTTTCTTTACTCTGTAAAGTTTACAAAAGACAGAAACACCTATTAGTGTTAACTACTATACCATTTTTTACATTTTGTCTATAATGTATATAATTTTACATGAACTTGATATATTGCTGTTAATGTTTTAGATTTTTTTCCTTGAGAATCTCATGCAATGCATTTTGATCATATTCATCTCTCTGCTTCATCTCCCTTTCCACCCACTCGTTCCCTCCCTCATTCTTCCTTCCCCGGACTCCCCACTCTTACTCAAAAAAAAAAAAACAAAAACAAACAAAAACCATCAAGCCAGTTTATGTTTGTAAACTAGTTCTGGGCATGGGTCTTGTTCTGGAGTCTGGGTCAGTATATCAGGTGTCATCCCATGAAAGAAAATGGACTCTCCTCTCCTGGCACCAATACCATGCCAATAGCTCGTCAGCTAGGAGTGGGACTTTGTGACTCATCCCTCCTCCATCCTGGGATTTAGTGTGGATTGAGTTTGTGCAGGTCTTATGCATGTCTTCACAAGCTCCGTGAGTTACTATGTGCATCTGTCCTGATGTGTCCAGAAGACAGTTTCCTTGAACTCATTCACCACCTCTGGCTCTTCATATCTGTCTGCCCCATCTTCACATGGCTCTCTGTGCCTCGGAAGAAAGGAGAAGATACAGATAGCCCATTTAGCTGGGCATTTCACAGTCTCTCATTCTTTGCATGTTGACCAGTTGTGGGTCTATATGTTAATTGCCAACTACTGTAATAAGCATTTTGATGAGGGTTGAGTGATGTGCTGCTCTATAGGTATAGCTATATCCATTTAGCAGAATAGGAGGTTTCCTCCTAGGGCCCTTGACCATCTAGCCACAGATTCTGGGCCTCACTGATGATGTATGAGATATGAGTTCCATCTTGTGGATCAGACCTTAAATCCAATCAAAAAGTGATTGGCTATTTCTATAACATTTGTGCCACTATTACCAGGCAGGTTGTTGTTGTAGCTCACAGAGTTCATAGCTGGATGAGATAATTACCTTTCTCCTCTGGTAACATGCATAGTGCCTTCCAACAATATGAAAGGTAGCCAGTAGGTGTAAAGCTTCCAGTGCCAGCTAGATTTCTCCATGTTCTATGACTCAAGCGTGTGGTATCTTCAGCAATAGGGATTTTTGTCATCCATTTCTAGACAGCAACCAATACATTGGCAATAGGATGTAATGTTTCAGTGCAAATCTAGGATACCGTTGACCAGTAACTCAAAAAATAGGTGACCCATTCCTAGTGCTAGTGGTCTTATTTGCAATATATTGTGTCTAGTTGAGGTATTACCTACCACCCCCAGAATAACTCTGTTTAAACTTGTGCTTTCAAAGGGGCTTTTGTTTTTCAATACAGTTTCTCTGTGTAACCCTTGACTGTCCTGGAAGTCACTCTGTAAACTAGGCTAGCCTCACTCAGAATCTACCTGGCTCACTTTCTGAATGCCACAATTAAAGGCCTGTACCACCACTGCCTTGCTCAAAAGACCTTTAATATTAGCTGCCCCTCACCATATTCTGTTCTCTATCATGCCCTCCCAAGCTCTACCCCACTTAATCATTCCTGTTCCATTTTTTCCTTCTCCAAAATGTATCATGAGGGATGTTGTTTTTTTGTCACAGGCCTTTTCTACATCTGATAACCATGTAGTTTTTGTCCTTTATTCTATTTGTGTGGTGGGTTACATTTATTGATTAACTTCTGTTTGAACCACCCTTGTATCACTGGGAGGAAGCCAACCTTATTATAGTGAATAATATTTTTGATGTGTTCTTGGATTCTATTTGCACGTATTTTGTTGAGAATCTTTAATGGTGGTCTTTAATTTTTTTTAGTTGATCTTTGTCTGGTTTGGGTATAAATACCAGCTTCATAAAAAGAGCTTGGAGATATCCATTCAGTTTCTGTTTTATGGAATAACCTAAGGAATATTGGTGTTTTCTTTGAGGGTTTGGTAAAATTCCAAAAACTATCTGGGCCAGGCCTTTTTTTAGTTGAGAGATTTTTAATTACTGCTTCTATCTCTTTAGAGAGTATGGGTCTATCTCAAATTTTAATTTTGATAAGTTGTACACATACAGAAATTCATCCGTTTCTTTTGTTTTCAACTTGGTAGAATACAGTTTTTGAAAGCGTGTCCTTAAGTTCTGTGAATTTCCTCATTGTCTGCTGTAATGTCATTCTCATCTCTAATATTAATTTGGATCCTTCTCTTTTGGTTAATTTGGCTAAAGGTTTTATTAATTTTGCTAACAACTTTTTTGAAAGAACGAAAAAACTCATCTTTTCATTGATTCTTTGTATTTTTATTGTTTCTATTTCATTAATTTCACCTCTGAGTTTAATTCTTCCTGTCTACCCTTTTTGAGTGTTTTTATTTTTCTAAAGCTTTGAAGTATATCATTGTTATTAATATGAGAGATCTGCAGCCAGCCCTAGCTGGTCTGGATCTTCTGTGTAGACCAGGCTAGCCTTGAACTCAAGAGATCACTTGCCTGTGCCTCCTGGGAGCTGACATTCAACACACATGCCACTATGCCTATATATTGCATAATATTATGCCTTGAATTTCACTTAAAATATTGTAGAAATTTATCATTAACATTAATTTAGCTTTAATATGTGGAAATTTGCAGCAAGTATAGAAAAAGTGCTTTTCATTAGAAAACTAAATCTTCCTAGCTAAATAAACTTTTCAGTGTTGTTTTGTATAAGGGATCAGACCTAGGGCTATGAACACACAATGCAGATGTGCTACCACTGTGCTACATCCCAGCCTTCTTGATGTTTTTTAGTGGCTGCATACAGCACATCTTGATGATAGGCCTACCATGTGTTAGTTTAACCCATCTAATTGTTGACATTCCTCAGATGTGTTACTGTTAGGATTTGATTCTCCTTGTTGCTGTGTGTGTGTGATTTGATACATATGTTGTTGTTTAGGGTTTTTCTGTGGGGGATGAGGTGCCAGGGATCAAATCCACGTGGGATTTTGCATATTCTGGGCAATGAACTTTATCCCCCAATGTGTTTTTCTTGAAAGGCTGTTTCTGGAATCTTCCTTTCTCGACTTCTTCCTCTCTGATTTCTTTCCCACTTGCCCATGCATTAACACTCAAGCTTCATCTCTTGCCATTTGTCTTGTATTTATGTTCTTGGGTACCCATGCTCAATCCTGTTCTTTCCTGTGTTCTCTCCCTAGTTACCATATCTAAACAAGCATGTCCTGAAGAGAAAGCCTGCTCTTTCATGGGTTCCTGTTCTCAACCCAGCTATTTTTGAGCCTCAGAGAAAGCTAGATAGAAAAATGTGAAAAGGGCTATTCAAAATGACCTCTAAATTTCACTGCCAAAAGCACAAAAAGGGAGGTTGTCTGGAGCAATTGGTAATTCCATGAGCCTGTGTTTCTTCTAATGTTTTGGCTGAGGTAAATACAAGTATCTCTTTTACAAGTTGATAAAAACCACACTTAATAGAGAAGTCACACTTTTATGTAAATTGAAAGTCAGCTCAAAATGTTTGATCCTGGTCTCTATTCATAGTGTTAGGAGAGATCATTGTCTGTGCATCCATTTGTCAACTAGTAATGCTGCTTCACTCCACTCACGAGTCATGAACTTATGCAAATGGAGAAGCGTGTAAAGTCTTACAGTAGAGAGAGCACCATGATAACATCAAGGTTTTTCTTCTTTTTGCAGGGAAAGAAAATAAAAGTGGAGCTGTTTCTTGTCCTATGTATTCACCAGATCGTCTTGAAATCTATCTAAAATGACAGCTCTTTCTTCAGAGAACTGCTCTTTTCAGCACCTGTTACACCAGTCAAAGCAGCCCCTAGATGTTAACTGTCTGTTGTTCTTGATCATACTTGGGAAAATACTATTAAATATCCTCATCCTAGGAATGAAAAGGAAAGATACCTATTGGAGTTTTATGGAGTATTTCTGCTTTTCACTAGCATTTGTTGATCTTCTGCTGTTGGTAAACATTTCTATTCTGTCCTACTTTAGGGACTTTGTAGTTCTAGGTATTAGGTTTACAAAATACCACATCTGTCTGCTCACACAAATCATTTCCTTCACTTATGGTGTTTTGCATTATCCAGTTTGCTTACTAGCTTGTATAGATCACTATTTAAATCTGTCTAGAGCCACCAAGCATTCATCTAAGTGGCAAAAGTTCTTTTATTTCTTGACAGTCATTTTAATTTGGACTTCAGTCTTTGCTTATGTTTTGGGAGAGCCAGCTATCTCACAAAGCCTGAAGACACACAGGGCTTCTATGTACCAATGCCCTTCCTATGTCAGCACTCAGAGTTACTGGATGTCATTGTCTATGCTGATGGTTTTATTGGTGGCTTTTCTGATTTCATGGCCAGAAGTTGTTGCCTTGGTACAGGCAATTAGGATAGCATCCTATATGAACAAGACCATCCTCTACTTTCCTTTCCCATCCCACTCTGGCTCCAGAGTGAGGTCTAAAGAAGCACTCTTGCCCCGGCTCGTTGTGTGCTTTCTTGGTACCTGGTTTCCCTTTGTAGCACTTCAGGTCCTCACCCTGTCACTTGGAGTTCAGATCCCAGCATATGTAGAAATGAACGTCCCCTGGCTCTACTTTGTCAACAGTTTTCTCATTGCTGCAGTTTATTGGTTCAACTCCCAGAAGCTTTATATAAGAGACAGCACATTACCTGTGGATCCTTTTGTCAACTGGAAATGCTGTTTTGTTCCAATGCATAGACTTAAGCAAGTGGAGAGGCCCGTTTCCATAATCATCTGTTGATATGCTACTGTGTTGGGAGAACTCCAGAAGCACCAAGGATCAGTCTTACAAGCAGGACAGAGGGGATTCAGGTCACGTTCCTGAAGCTCTACTTTTTTCAGCACAGCCTCTAAGGTGTGGTGGATATTAAATAGTGCTAAGGACACAGTAACACAATGAAGTTTTTATGCCTGTTCAGCAACATTGTGTATTTGGACATGTGTGTTTGGTACTAATCCAAAAGTAAAATAAACACATTAACATGTGGCCAGCTTGTTGTTTTACTCCAAAAAACTACTGGATGTAAAATGTTAAATAAATTTGAGAATTTACTGCCAATGCTAAGATTTGAACTAAAATATTTTTATCAACTTTAGAGAAAAACAATTTAAAATGATTTGGTATAAATAAACTTTAAGGGGAGGATTAGCTCATTTTAAATATAGCTAAAATATTTTATTACAAATATTCCTGGAAAGTTTCAGCTGTTCAGCTTATAAAGCTGGGAACCATGGAGGATCTTGTCATGACATGCCAAATGCATGTTTGTTTATAACATGTGCACATCAGATCATAATCATTTAGCAACATATGCTACAAAAAGCCTTGGGCTGTTGAGATTTGGGGCTTGATCTGTCTTGTAGGGGTAACCCTACACATTGTATAGTTGCCAGTAACACCTTCCCCAGAAGCAGCAATCAAAAATGTCTCTACATATTCCCAACCCTCCTGGACACAACTCCACACTCCCATCCCTACTCCCACCCCCCTGTAGAAACCACCCCTGGAGGGAAGCAATGTGGATCAGAATAAGCTGAAATCACTTTATGAATTAAGCTACATAGATGTTTTGGCTGCTGTTTACAAATACTAATATATGTTCCAAGAGCCACCCCTAGCATTTCAAAAGTTGAGTGGCTTTTAGGCTAGGCTCACTTGGTAGACTGCTTAACTGTGCCCACTGAGGCCTAGCAGCACAAAGCAGTGTAGTAGTGTGTATCTGCAGTCCTGCACCTGGGGAGGTGTAAGCAGGAAGACCAGAAATTCAAGGTCATCTTCGGTTACCTCAAGGTCAGCCTGGTCTACATGAGATCATCCAGTCTCCCCCTCCCCAAGATGTTTTAAAAAGTAGTTGTGACCTATGGAGTTAAGTTCATGATCCACAAATGGATTCTATCCTAAAACAGTGCTGTACAGCAGCTGTAACCCAACAGGCTTGTGTGTGCTGGGTAAGTACTTACATGTAGGGAGCCACTGATCTAATCACCCTGACAACACTGTTCACATCCTCCTCTTGCAGGGAAGGAGACTAAAGCATCAATATTAAGAAGCTTACCCAAGCTCACTCAGCTAGTGAAGGGGAGGGAGGTGAGACTCAAACCCTGGCTTCCTTCAGCTATGCTCTTCCCACTGTTACATCATTCATGAGTTCCACTCGTGGCTTCTCAAACAATAGCTTTTTATGAATTTTTTTTTTCACTTAAAACACACAGTATGACATCTTAAGGAACTGAGGTCCTGTTTCCTTGGACATCCAGGTCTTCAGGTTGGCACCAGCCACCTAGACACAAGTTAGCCATGGTGCTGGATAATTAGTTCTGAGTGAGCTGCAAGCACAGGGTCAGCATTCCTAGTCTAAAATGCTTTTGGATAAGGGTTATTCAATAATGTCTGAAAAAATTAAGGTATCGAATATTCCAGGTGACACCTTATGATGCAATCCTAACTAACCTGAGCCATTCTAAGAAAAGGGGCACTGAAACAATGAAGTAGTAAAATAAACCAACAGACCATTTCTGGGACGTCGAGTTTCATTTGCTAATAATGTAGAGGGCAATTCCAGCTGCCAATAACCTGGGCTTTTATCAGCCCAATTTAGAGCTGCTACTTTCAGGTAAAACCTCAGTGAATGAGTAGCCTGATTTAAGTCACATACTCATCTGTGTGTTGCTGCAAGGATATACTGCAGTATTTAAAACGTTTAAAAATTGTGCATTAACACATAAGAGAAAGTAGGAATAAAAAATTACATTGTTCTATTTTTAAAATGCAAATAGACACAATTACATCCAAAGGCTGATTTGTGTGGTGCTGGAGATTAAACCCGGGCTTCAGACATGCTTGGCAAGCACTCTAGCCACAGCAAAGCTCAGCAGACATAACCCTGTGATCCAGTGTGCTTGAGTTCAGATGACAGAAGCCAGCCTTTTTAATTGACTCATCTATGCTATCCTCTCCATGTTTGTTGGTTTGCTTTTGGAGTTTTTTTTTTCCCCTTCCAATTAGCTATGACATGAGAATAAAATATACGTAGCTATACTGATTTTAATGTATACTCTTTGTGGATTATATGCCAGGAAATTTATAACCAGTTCAGCCCTCCATTAAGGTCTTTACCTTAGATTTCCCCACGATCTCTCAAAAGCTTAAAGAAGTAAAAATGCAATAACCAGTCAGGTTTTTATTTGTAAAGAACTGAAGTTACAACTGGTCTACAATATATTATTGTAATATAAACAACATAAATAAAAGATCCTGTAGGCCCACCACTGACCTTCCACCCAGAGCCACTCGAAGCCAATACTCTAATGTGAAAGTGTGCAGGTGACAAAGGTGCAATCCAAGCAAGTGTAAGCAGCAGAGTATAAGGTGCTTCCATTAGCAGTTAACGTTGCCAGCAAACATCTGATGCTCCATTTTAGTCACTGAATAGACACACAAACAGGAAGTCTAAAATTCATACACATGCGACTTAATATGAAAGTGCTTTCTCTTTTCTTAAAAAAATACATCAAATGAACACTTTTTACATAGATAATGGTGTGCTCTTATAATGCAAAATTAACTTCATTTTCAGGTTCTACATTGTAAAACTGTAGCTATGAACACCAGTCTAGGAAGTCTATGCTAAGGTGCTATAACTATGTCATTTCCTGTGAGGACTATACAACACCCATGTAAGACGCATCCATAGAACCTTAATATTTGCTTTCTCTAAGATTAAAACAAAAATTTTCCCCCCTTGGTGGTGCTTTTTTCCTTGATGAATCATCATCTGAGAATTTTTTTATTATGAAACTTTGATTTTAGAACAATAGGAAGAACCAAAAGGAAGATTTTTAAAAAAATGTGCTTAAAACATAAAAAAAAAAGTCACAGCAGCTTGCTCCTGTGAACCAAATTAAAAGCAGTAAAAAGACAGAACATTCTAACTGAATCAAGAGGCTTGAAGAAGTGCCTTTTCCTCCTGTCAGCATCTGCCCCTATGCACAACTATCTGCAGCATGCAACCTTCATTTGTAGCACAATCCTGCACTTCCCAAGAATTTCAGAATTTTGGAAAAAGAAAAAGGAGACCCATCTTTTGAATGAGGTGATCAATGTGAAAAATCACACAACAAATTTCAATCTCTGTATTCTTGGCTGAATCCTAAAGTTCCAAGAATACATATATAAAAACAGCATCAATGCAACAGAGATCTAAACAGCATGGGATACTTTACAACTTAGGTATACTTTAAAGAACTTAAAGCACTTTAAAAGTAACCAGCATCATAGAGCAATTTACAAGGCCAAATTATTGGGCTATTTAGATTAGTATACCTTAAAAAAAAAAGCCTGTTTGAAAGCATCTATTATATATAGTAATCAGACACTTTATTTGGACATTTTCCCACCTTAAAAAGCTACAGCTATGATACATAAAAGCTTTTAAAATATACTTTTATATCTTTATAAAGAATGTTAGTATCAACTGATGTTAGTATTTAAAGTAAAATTTACAACCTGATTCACAGAATCCCAGAGTGACAGGGGAATTTACCCAGTTAAATCTGATTCCATCTTTACTCCTCAAATGCTGGCCAGCGGCGCAGCAGGACCTGCCTTGTTACCAGTGCTGCCTTCCTTCATGGTGCAGTGTACACCCCTTCTGACTGGCTGCAGCACACAATGCAATCAACTCTACAAAGCGGTGGCAGCAGCCTGTTCTCCTGACCTCCTTTCAGATGTCTGTTTTGGACAACTGCTCCACTATCAATCAATAATGGATATAAATCTTTGCAACTAAAGATGCATAATGATTCCACATCAGCTTCTGTCATCCTGCTGCATACCATGCACAGGACTAGCCCTGACACTGCCTGTCACAACACTCAGAGTTGGTTATGGTAGGTGTCCTTACTGTTGTCAACAGATGTGAAGTATGTGAAAGGTGGTATGAGAGTGGGGATGTGATTTGGACCCTCGGGTGTCATTGAATCCCAGTTCCCAGGCAACAGGGCATTAACTGGGAGTTAGTACATATATGCTTAAGCAGCAGTGAGGCTGTTTGGGAAGACTTGATTTTTTTTTTTTTACTTGTATATGCTACACACAACCCAAGTTATCAAATAGTTTACAAATGGATGAATAAGTGCATGAGTGCCATTCAGTCAGGCCAGTGGTAATTAATACCGATTATGTAGCTCAGGAATGTAACTTTAGAGCTGGGGAAGGTGTTTCTTCAATAATGACTTATGCCAAAAGTCAACATATTTAGTAGTGCAGGTACTCATTCAGATGAGATTAAAAGCCAAACAACTGCCCAAGGTGTCACACAGCTAATTTGCCATCTGGGTAATACCAAGTCTCAAAGCCACAGTGTTTCATCTCCACTCAGCATGGTAATGCAGCAAATGTATTTATGTCACTCACTACTGAATAAAAATAGTAATTTTGCTCATTTTTTAGTACAACCAAACATTTAACACAGGCATTATGTACAAGGGCTTTAAACACTGTACATATTTAGGTTACTTGAGGCAAGACTAAAAAAGTCCCTTCCTTCTACAGTGGGTTCATGTTTGTGCCAGTGATGTTATAATCTCTATCCCTCTTCACCACTGTCAGAGAAAGGTCTACAAAGCACAGGTTAACACTGACGTATTCCATTAAGCCAATAAGCAATAGGTACTATGAATATCTAAGATGATGACTGGCATTAATTCAGACAGTATAAAAGGACTTAACTACATCCCTCTTATATTTCATTAAAATTATGCCATGTTAGCATAATTCTTTAAATTTATACTGATTTTTTTCAAAATTAAAATTCATTCAGTACATACTTCTTTAAAGTTTTATCGTTCTATAGATTCATGCCCAATACCAGCAATATCATGGACAGCACTTGAAAAGCAATAGAAAGACCTCGGCCTAAAAAAAGGTGTTAGAAGCTCATTGTAAACCTCACATTTTATTAAAATTGTATTTTTAAATAAAAAAATATCTGCAACCTATCAAAAGGGAAAAACAATAAAATCCCCATGAAAATAATTTCCCATCACTATGGCACTTGCCAGAAAGTGTGTGTGTGCATGTGGGACTCTGTCTCAGGGAGGCTGGGAGCACATCACTACAGAGGGCAGGGGCTCCTAATGTTCTTTTCTGGAGCATGATGGCAATACTTATATTTCACTTGGTACCTCCTGACTTTCAAAAAGAAAAGTTTTCTCTTAGTATACTTCTAAAGTAGATTGAATTCTAGAACTAATATGCACACTTGTAAGATCTTAATGTTTTAGGTAACTTTTTTTTAAAAAAGTTAATGTCATTTCCAACATTTTAAATTGAAGAAACAGCTATAAACTATAGGATAATGCATTTTATAATCTAACACAAGAGAAATATCTTTCCAGAGAATTTCTTAAGAAGTATGGTTCAATGGGTTAAAATTAAATATTAATAAGAAAATTTACCATTTCTAATACTGATATTTACTCATATAAATTGAAAACCAATCTTTGAGATGAAATAAAATACTCCAAATGGATAAAGTATCAATATTGATGATTGTGAGTTAAATAGTTCATGTCATGAGTCATTCTGCTTTACACCAAGAACACAGGCAGGCCTGTGCCTACTGGGACCTAGTCAGGAGAAACAGCCAGTCAACGATCCTCAGACTGAGACACAACAAACTACCTTACAGTGCTTTTCTTCATGACCAGTGCTTTTCTTCATGACCGGCTGCAAGACTGCATGCATCAGCTGTGGTATCTAAATTGGAAACTCCTCTCTAATCTGGCCACTCACTCACAACAGACTTGTAAATTTTAACAGTACTCTCTCTCCTTCTTACTGGTTATCTTCAGAAATCCAGGATCACTCACTTGGGTACTAATAACATCAAAGTGCCTCACAGCAGGGTCAGGTGATAAGAGAGAGAACTTATTTGATTACAGGAAAATCTTGACATTTAAAACCACCAGGGGCTAGGTTTGGCATGGTGGCACAGACCTTCATTCCAGCACTTGAGAAAAGGCCAGAGGATAACAATTTCAGGTTAGTCTAGGCAAACAAGCAAAAAACACAGTATGAAAGCTCAGGGATGGAGTGTGAAACACTGACTTCAGTCCCTGGTACCAGCAAACAAAACAACTAACACATACCCTAAGACCTTTGTATTGCTATAATGGGAGTCCAGCCACCCATTACCATGGATCACGTTAAATGTCTTCATTTAGCTAGCAGTGTCACCTTCCTATTTGCCCCCCACACCACCACCACCAACAAAACAAACAAACAACAAAAAAACGTGTTAGGGTACAACTAGTCACACAGACCTATGGTGCACAAGAAACATAACTAGGAAATGATTTGCATAGATGGAGAAGGCTTTCATTGAAATACAACTGGTAAAATTATAAAGGTCTAGCCTTGTTACAAAATCATGAAGATTTCCAAGCCAGGATGCTACCCAACCCCAAGCCAAGAACTAAGAAGAAAGCCCTGTGTGGTTTATTTGGGGTAGGGTTGGGGACAAAGGGGGGTTAATGAAGGAAATAAGACAAGGCCATTCATTCCATGCCACTAACAATACCAGTTGGCAGCAGTTGTTGCTGGCATTCACAAAGGATAAAGTCTTCAAACCACACATATAGCCAGCCTCTCATGTTGAAAACATGTTTGAAATGCTTTAACAGTATGACCGAGGTTGCATACATTGGACATAGCTGCAAGATCAGCTTCATTCACATGTATCGGTAAGAGTTTCTTCTTTCTAAAATCACCTACACACATGAAATCAAAGCCTAAAATTACTTGACTATATTTCCTCCCTACCACTCTGGTCCAGAAAAGCACTGAGCCCTTTTAAGGGCTCTGAGTTCTGAGGCACACAACTAAACTTGTGAGAAACTGTGTCCCGTGAAAGACTTCAATCCAAGATATTTGTAAACAGGTAAGTGACTATAATTTTGCACTTAATATATGAAGACACGTAAAAAAATTATCCAAAGGCATGGTCTCATACACTAGTCTTCCAATACAAAGAAACAAAAAGAAAGCAGCAGGATTCCTAAAACACAGAAAACCACTTCTATTTATATAGGAAAACATGAATTTTAATGTCAAAAGTGCAGAAATTTGTTCAATGTTGCAATGATGGAATGAACAAGTGGGAAGTTCCATTTGCCTGTTAGCCCACTCTAGTTCGTTCACTAGCATCTCTCCTCGAAGGTGACAGCTTTAACCTGGACTTTACAGTTCTGTTTAGAAAGACTCCACAGCAAATGAAGTGAATTTAACCATCACAGTTGCATGTCACCAAAGCTGTCAAGTATGGAGATAGCATCCTTGGGGCTGTGTTGGTTTATAATTAAGCTGTGTAGCTGTGCCCCACAAATGTCTACACAAAGCTTGTAAGTATTGTCATATAAAGTAACTTTTACAAGCCAACTGTGTATTTTCCTAAGAACACAGAACTTAAAATGTGAAAAGTAGGTTCCTAGTGCAAAAGGGGGTTTAAAGTAAGGAAATACAAACTCAGGTAGCAAAAATAGGAAGAACCCATGTTCCCTTTCTGCTTGTCATCTTTTTTTTTTTTCTCCAAGAAAGAACTTAGTACTACAAAGGAAAAGAAAATGGCATCCTTCCTATCTATGCCATACTGAACAGCCTAATGCTCAGGACACAGGGGGACATAGGGTGTGTGTCCCCATAACATGTAATTGAAGTTTTCAAATTAGGATGATTAAATTATCTAGAAAGAAATACCTGCAGCAATGGGAGAACTACCAAATAACAAATGAGCCACTTCTAAATAAAACAACCCACTTGTAGAAAAAAAAAGTGTATTTTCTAGTTGAATTTAAGTGCAGACAACAGAAGATCTGGACAAGAAGACATTCTCTAATAGAAACTCATCTTGTAAGATGCTTAGGGATGCTTAAAGACAGTGCTAGGCCCAGGGGTTTCTCCTAAGCACACAATGGGCTGATTCTAGTAGAAGTGTAGAGTTATAGGCTATATTAAGTATTTGTAGGAGGGAAGCATTATTGCTGGAGGTCTATACTGGACAATCAAGTCTGTATTAACTGGATTACTACAATACAGTTTTAATTCCAGAGGAAATGTGCGTTTGTGCCTCCTTCACATAGTAGGCAATCTCTTAGTGCTGCTTAGCCTGTTTAGGAGAATGAAGGGAAAATGTATGATAACTGCCATGACGACTCATTGCTAATAAATGAGATGGACTATAGAATACCTATCTTCCTTGAAACATTAATAACAAAATGTGATATAAAGAAATATGTAACAGAGATTATACTACCTTAGGTTTGAAACATGAGCCTCACACTACTTACACATTTTGAGTCTACACAGGACTACCAGTGAACACCTCTTAAACTACTACACTAACAATCCCACCAAGCGTACATTCAAACAAGAGGCATCTAAAGATTAAAAAAATTACCCACTATATTTTTGTATAAAAATAACTGACATTTTCTAATGTACACAAAGCCAAAAGATAAATATCTGTGATACCTTTGTGACGTCTTTTAGTCTTCTATTAGCTCAACACAATCTCTGAATAGAGCAGTGAAAATGTGAGCTCAGACTCTTACATCTGTGGCCAAGGATCTGCTATCCACTCCTTTTTAACTGTTCTGATTTCTCAATGATGTAGTAAAGATAGAGAAAGCAAGCTTGTCATCAAGTCTTCCGATGCTCACACTTTAAGGCTCTCAGAGTACCCACAGAAAATTTTGTCATAATGTCCTAACTCTACAGAAAAATAACTGCTGAGTAAAAACTTTTGATTAAGAGAAATCATTTTAAATGCTTTGTGGAAAGAATCCAAGGACTCAGAAAGGGAGAAAGAAATGTGCATTATAGACAGATTCAGCAGGGTCGCTTTGAGAAAGGCATGAGGAAGGGATCACACCTCCACTGCCAACTCTCCTTGCTGGAAGAGGCTCCCAGGCAAGACTGCATCTTACACCTTCATCAGTGCAGAGCAACAGTCAGGAAAAGGTGAACATGGGCCAATGCCATATCAGAGTCACATGTTCTGTAAATTAACCTAATCTTATAGACCAATTTTATGGATTTTCTTCCCTTTTCCAGTATACAGTAAAACTGGAAAAAAACAAAAAACAAAAACTTCAGAACATTAATGCCATCTGAATAATACTTCACTAAACATGTACTCCTTATCATACCCTATCTTTAAGTATGCCCCTGAAGGTGAAAAAGAGCAACATGCAGCACTCTCTGTTCACCAGGGCTTCTCAACCTTGGCACTACTGGTGTCCATAGTGTATCATTCTTGGTAATAGTCCTGTGCACTGAGGGATATTCAGCAACATCTGTGGCTGCCACTACCACCTCAGTTCCTGTAACAACCCTCCCAAAACTCAACCACAAGCTGTGGCAACCAGAATGTGTCCAGATATTGCTAAATGCCCCCTAGAGGACAAAAAGAGACCTCCACTGAGAGCTATTGCTCTTAATGTACAAAACCAAGAGAACCACTATCAGTTATGCCGATTGCAGGAAAGTCTCTTGTGACCTCCATAAACACTGTTTATGCAAGAACACAATCTTTCTTCACAGCCAAAACATTTGTCTGGAAGATAAGTTTTTTAAAACATACTGATATTTCATTGCATTCAATTCTGTCAATGGGCTCCTAAATTACTCTATATCTCTATGATAACCTTTGGAAAACAAACAGGGTAGAAAAACCTATAAGAAAACAGAATCAAAGGGGGGGGGGTGTAAATCAAAAATTATTTTTAAACGATTCTTTCATATTAATGATAAATTGATAAATATTACCTTTAAAAATTATCTAGTATAACATGTTTCTTTGAAAAATATGAGCCTCTGTAATAAGTCTTTCAGTGTGGTATGTAATTGGTAAAATTAACTTCACCAATGTTGGCTAATTATGAAAATGTATGATGAGTGAGGGTATCTGAAGAGAAATGTCGGCACTGGAAGTGGCAGTCCCAATGTGCTTGGCCTTCCATCATCAGTCTAATATTCTCAGCCAAATGAGGCTTTACCTTTACCCACTAAGAGGAATAAAACTGATATTACAGGAAAGCCTTGGGTTCCTGTTAAGAGTCCTTCAGAGAGTTGATGCGTGCACAAATCTTCAGGGCTGGGCCCAGCTTGATGTTCATTGCACTCATGAGATGGTCTTCTTTTAGCAAGAGCAGGGCCTGTCCATCAATCTCTTGTGCCCGGAATTCATCGGCAACATCCTGGCAGCCTGTAATTCCAAGAAAAGAAAGTTAAAGTTCCATACAATTAGATGGAGCTCCTAGCAGTGACAGTTGTGCTGTCCCTCGGCCTGTGAGTTTATAGCAGAGGCTGATAAATCAATGTCATGGCAAGCCTAGGGTTCATCCCTGAAGAAGTCAAAACCAAGGAAAAAGTTTACTTGCTTTAAAAACATTGCAGAAATAATAGCAAGAGGTAAAAGGGATCAGTAAATACATTGCATTTCCCATGCAAAAAGGACTTCATTCTGAGGTTTTATACTTCATGGGCTCATCTTCCCATAACAGAACTTCATATATAGGCAGAGAGGAATAAAATATTTTGCCATAAATAATAATCTGGAAATATTTTCTCAAATGTCAGATTAAACTTTCATTCACCTGTACCTTCTTTGAATTCACCTAACTCCAAGTATGTCTAAAATACTTTATTTTTTTCCCTCAAGACAGTATAAACCTCCCAAGATTATTGTACTAACATGTTACAAGACCGCTGACACACATCATACTGCTTAACTTGTAACATCAACTTCAAAGCTTAACATCACTGAGCTAATTTCCAGTCATCTGTAACAGTCTATGTAGCCTGTAGGCTGATCTTGAACTTATCCTGTTTTCCCACATACATGCTGGGATTACAGGAAAGTGCCATAGCTTCCCTCCCCCTTTTTAGTGGTGCTGGGAACAGAACCCAGAACCCTGGTGATGGTAAGCAAGTGTTCTGTCCCTGAACACATCACCACAGCCCTCAGCACTCCTTACCTTCACTTTTGGCAAAAACAGAAAAACAAGTTGTCTCTGAAATCATGAAGCTGCAGGGCAATCTCCTGCCAAGTAAACAGTGCATAGCCTCAACCTGAAGCAGGCTCTTGCCAACTGAACCTGACTGTTCTATGGCCTACCAAAATACTCAGTCACTCCCTATCAAGGGAAAGAGACCTCTAAGTTAGGCAATGAACCATGGAGCCCAAAGAGGAGAGAAAGCAAGAGCATAAAAGCTGCTTTTCTGATAGTAAAATTATAAAAGTTGGCTTAAGAACAACATCTAACAGCTTTACCACCCTTTTGTATTCAAATCAGTATTCCATGGAGAATCACAGAAAACAGATGATGGAAAAAGGAAATGATTAATTTGTACTTTGGAATATAATGTTTTGCTAGGATGGTTCTCCTTTCCATTGTAAATGTCAGCCTCTAGCTTATATTAAGATAACTAGGCCTAACCCTACAGACCCAGGAGCACCCCAAAGCACTACAGTGCAGCATACATGCATTTACATAAGGATGAATGAAGAAATGATGAACTGGAAAAATGTCATCCACTGTAGAGAGCTATCTATGGTAGTAACATGTTTCGCTCATGTGTTCATTTGTGTGGCCATCATTTTCCTCAGTGTTCCTCATTGGCTGTTATTTCTCTTTACTGCATCTTATACAGCAGCCAGCTTTTCAATTTCTCTATTTTGGTAATTTCTCAAACTTCAAAAATTTGTATTTCAAGATCCTGTATAAAATTTGTATGGCTTTGCCCATGTACCACAGATAAGAAACCATATAAAGAAACAGGGTTACTCACCATAGAAAAGCCCTTTTTCTTTGCTCAGAAGTAGCTCTCAACAAAATTGACTAATCTTGCATCTAGTTGTGACTCGTCCTTCTTTTATGGAAGAGCTAACACTTCTCTCCAGTCTTATTCATAAGAACCAGGGAAGGGAAGAAGAGAGAGAGGGTAGGCTTACTTAGATTCAGAAATGAGTGAGGAGAGTGAGGACCACCAGAGCTCCCACAAGAGCTCCCGAGGGGAAACACTCAGCATGCTCTCCTTCCTCTTGACTGGGTTCCTTTCCAGATGGCTGCTTGTAGGTAGATAGTAAAGGTATTGGCAAAATAGTTTTAAAGTGTATTGGGAAACAGCAAGATTAAATAACACACATTCGTCATTTTTAGATCCCAATTTTCTCAAGCCAACCACAAAAAGCATCATTAGCACAGAAAATAAAGTGATTTATTTATAGAAAGGGAGGCAGACAAGCAAGTAGACATCTAGAAACTCACTGGAAAAAAAAAACCAAACAAACAAGATTTTCTTTTTAAGTATTCAAGATACTCTGAGTTAAAGTTCTGAGAAACTGACACCCTGACTGACAGCAGCTCCCACTGTTGAGTGTTTGAAGCCAAGCACTGAGTACAACACACACACACACAAATGAGGCTGCCTCACTCACCCTGATCAAGTGAAGAGCTCCAGGTGAGGCTCTGGCCCTGCTCATGTCCCATTTAAACTTTTCAGTGTCCACAATCACTTCTCCCACTTTGAAATCTAAATCAAAACATTCTATGCACAAACTGACCTCACTAAAGTTGCAGGAAAGACACCAAGTGCCACTCAATATTACAAAATAACCATCCCCAAAGACAGTAAATAGTTGTACTTTAAAGAAATGGTTCCTACAGAGAAATTCAATCTGGATTCACAGATCAGTATAGAATAATCTTTCCAAAAGGGCAGTTCACTAAAGGGTAATGCAGAAGGTAACCTGCAATTAGTTGAAACCAGAAGTGTTCTGTGGAGAACTTCTAATGCACCCAAGTTGTGTTAATTTTCTCTCTGATAACAGCTCAGAGATATGAATTTGCTACTTGGAAACTTTAACATAGTCCCATGGGTATTTAATAACATGATAACACAAAGATAAAAGAAACCCAGGGGTAAATACAGGTGCCCTGATTACAAGGAAGCTCATCCTATCTGGAAAGAAGATTAAGAGATCACAAAATGTATAAACTCATTCCTACTATTGAGAAAAGCTTGTAAAAATACTCAGGAAAAAGAAACAGCCTTAAGGAAGCTCAGAAAGTTATTTATAAATGCAGGAGAGTAAGAAAGAAAAAGAAACACATTTTTTCTGGTGTAAGATTCACCCTAAGCTACTCTGAGGAAAATTTTGGAAAGACAACAACCGATTGCACAAATATAGTATTATTTGGTCCATTAAAGCAATTCAGAAACACTCCCACTTCATCAGGGAGGGAGGGAGGGAGGAAGGGAGGAAAGGAGGAAGGCAAGAAGGAAGGAAAGAAGAAAGGAAGGAAAAAAGGAAAGACGGAAAGACAGAAGGATAGAATAAATAGAACCACTCAAGGATTGTTTCTTCTCAATGACATGTAGTGTTCTTAAGTGCATATGAACTCTAAGAAAAGAATGTAATGTCCAGTTTGGGCTATGGCTGCTGAACTTGGATGAAGGAAGAGCAAGGCCAAGGTCTGATCTAATGAAGCAGTCCAGAGTGGTGCAGCACCTTCTTGCTGGGAAACTGCCATAAAACAACACTTGACATATTGTCCTTATGGCTCAGCAGTAAGGACAATTTGCTGGTTATTTGGGACAATTAATTTCATTAGGCTATAAAGCAATTCCCCTACCCAAAGGGAAAAGACACCTTTGCCCCAGTAAGAACCCAGGCTCAAAGACATACTACACACCCCTTGGGAAACAGACTACCAAGTAGCGCAAGACACCCAGCCCTGGGTGATCAACCTGGGGTAGACTCCAGTATTAATACAGCTAAACTGGTCTGAAACTAAAATTTGGTTTTATTTCGTTAAATATTAAAACAGTCATCAGTAAGGTTCACTAACCTCTAAGAGATCAAGTTTAGCAATCTAACAGCTATTAATATACACCTTAGTTTTCATATACAGGTGCTTATAAATTTACATGCAGTATACTTCCATTAAACAATTCCATCTTCCTGTTTTGTTAAAATAAATTTGTTAAAAATATCTTGTTTTGCCGGGCGTTGGTGGCGCACGCCTTTAATCCCAGCACTCAGGAGGCAGAGGCAGGCGGATCTCTGTGAGTTGGAGGCCAGCCTGGTCTCCAGAGCAAGTGCCAGGATGGGCTCCAAAGCTACAGAGAAACCCTGCCTCGGAAAACAAAAACAAAAACAAAACAAAACAAAAAAAAACAAACTTGTTTTGTTAGAAATTTTGCATGATGTGAAATTCCCAAAGAATCAATAAAGGATTATGGGTTTTGTTTTTGTTTTTGTTTTGTTTTGAAGTGCTTGAAGTGAGATGTACTCTTCTAGAAAGCTTGAAGAAAGGGAATGATACAACTCACAATGAGACTAGAAAGAAATACATTTTTAAAATCTCATTTTCTTGGTTCATAAGGCCAGAGTTTTACAAATTTAAAAGAAATACACTGTCCTAACATACATTTAGTGTGGGTCTTATTGCAAGCAAAGGCCCTACCATCTTTGGCCATCACAAAGACTGTTGCTTAAAGAGAAAGGGAGCTGAAGCTGGTGGGGAAGTAGAGAGAGCAGGCAGGCATAAGGAGGATGTAACGTTTCACAAAGACACCAAAAGTTCACCCTACTTTACAGTATTGATTAGCTTTCTGAAATACACACACACACACACACACACACACACACACACACACACACAACTTTCTTGTTTCAGTTTCAAAAAGGGCTAGCTAAAGAAACGAAGAGAAAAATTATTAGGAAATAGAGAAGAAGAAAGGGAGAAGTGTCTGATTCCCTCTCCTGCCCTCTCAAGAGAATCAAACTAGAAGAGAGAACCTTACCATCCACCAGCTGGGGCACAAGAGCAATGCAGGACTAGTCCATGCTTACTAATTTGGGGGTTTGAAAGAGTACAGAGTCATGCTGAGGGATAAGTAAGAGGAAGCAAATCCCATTTCAATAGCAAATGACATTTTATTTACACCTTTAATGCCAAAGGTGTGCTGAAAGTCACACACACACACACACACACACACACACACACACACACACAACTTTCTTGTTTCAGTTTCAAAAAGGGCTAGCTAAAGAAACGAAGAGAAAAATTATTAGGAAATAGAGAAGAAGAAAGGGAGAAGTGTCTGATTCCCTCTCCTGCCCTCTCAAGAGAATCAAACTAGAAGAGAGAACCTTACCATCCACCAGCTGGGGCACAAGAGCAATGCAGGACTAGTCCATGCTTACTAATTTGGGGGTTTGAAAGAGTACAGAGTCATGCTGAGGGATAAGTAAGAGGAAGCAAATCCCATTTCAATAGCAAATGACATTTTATTTACACCTTTAATGCCAAAGGTGTGGATGGACTTCAGATAATTTTCTTGGCGCAAGAAAAGCATCCAGGTGAGTCACATACCAGGCAAAGAATGGATGAAAGCCCAGACATCATCGACCGTCCATATAGAGGGCTCTGTCTGTGCAACTGGGAGCAAGTCACTGTTCTCAGGCATTTTCCTGATTCTCACATCTCGAAGCTCACGTTCTCTTTCCCGCTCACTCTGCCTTCGAAGACGAGTTGTCATAGCAGAGGGCACAGAATCTTCATGAGAAGCCAAGTCTTCTTCTGCAGATGGATAAGTAATTGGAAGCTGGAAAATGCAGTAAAGTAAAATACAGCATTGCACTTTCCTTGCATTTCTGAAAAGGACATTGTATATTGAAGCAAACTTTCTACAGACCTGCCTAAGGATATGTTCTCTTGCTGTCCCTTCAGGGCCACTTGGACGACGGCCCCGATGCCCAAGACTTTGATTATCAGGCTTACGATTCCAACGACTAAGTGCAAATTTTTTAGAACAGCTAACATTGTACCTAAAAAATTCAACAAAGAAAAATTAAGCAATATATAGACACCCCATTCAGAATTTAACTGTAATTTTAAAACCACTGTGACACAGTAAGTACTAGATAATAAGGACTATAATATTTCAAAAGTACACCTATCTTATTGAATGGATTAATTTATCCTACAGGTCAAAAATGGCCTCTGAGTATATCATAAAATATCTCTCAACATAATACTGAATACCTATTACAAAGTAATGGTATTTTCTCTTGATTAGAGAATAATGAGAAACATGCAAAATGCATAAGATAATTTGCAAAGCAATAAGAAAATTCATGGTTCTGGAAGAGAATCTCTGTATATTTCCAATGCTTATTTAAGCTATTTTACAAGTAATACATTGGGTTTTGTTTTGTCTTGCTGTTTTTAGTGTGTTTGTAAAGAAGTATGCAGATACATATGTGCAGGTACAGGAGCACATATATGTGCAGATGCATATGCACATGTGGAGACCAGGGTTTGGTTCTCAGCACACAGTGGAGGCTCACAACTGCCTGCACCCCCAGTTCTACAGGATCCAATGCCCTCTTCTGGCTTCCACATCAGCCACATACATGGTGCACAGATATTCTTGGAGGCAAAGCACACAGACATTAATTTTGTTATTGATAACTATTCAAGAATAATAGATATAATTTTACCTATGTTTTCTGAAAATATAAGAGACAGAAAAGGAATACAATGAGAATTAATGAACTATTTGTCTTCTAAATATGCAAATGTACCCGAGAGCCACTGAAAGAACTGAAGAAATCCTGCTATGTTCACATGGGTTTATCTGTGGGCTCAGCAAAGTTAAGTTTTAATTTCTAATTAACATCAGGGGACAAAGCTTACTACCGAGGAAAGGAGAGAACTAGCTTTGTGCCTGGCAGTTAGTGCTTGTGTATTTAGCTCTCCAAGACTAAGTAGCCATGTAAACAGTGGCAGCGCTTCCCTGACCTGATTCAGCCTCTCTATCTTGCTCTATGCTGGGGTCCCTGACCTAACGAAGTCCATCAGAAGTATACTATATACCAAGACAGTCATCGTTTCGGGGCAAAGAGTAATGACAGATAGTGTTAAGTGTCCTGTTAAACATCTCAATAGTCAAGAGGTTTACAATATCCTAAAAGACAGACCATTTCCCAAATTTACAAGCGTTTTAAACCAGCATTAGAAAGTACTGTTCTTTCATGTGTTACATGCAAACTGAAATTCAAATTAGAACATAAATACTACATGATCTTATTACTAATTACTTATTACTAATTGATTTTGAAAGTTGGTTATAATTTTTTAAACACAAGACTAATATTCCATCATATACTTGACATGTTACAGGAGAGATTCTCCAAAGTATACCCTTGCACCCAATGGCTGCTGCTTCATAAGCATATACTATGAAACTGCATTATTAGTACATAATTACCACTTAGTAAATTCTAGTAACTAGACACAGAGTAAGTGTCTGCCAATGGCACCTAGCCTTCCCCTTGTTATCACAGCTAACTCCCACCAAAGCTCAACTGTACTGTGTCTTGACTTTATGGCAAAAGTTACTGGTTCTCCCTCAGCAAATCCAAGAACACCAACATACCTTTTGGCACATGACATAGTACAGAATCGTTTTGACCGTAAAAATTCATTAGGATATCCCATTTTCCCACAGAATTCACACTTGAGCAACTCACTATCCATTTCTTCTAATGTCTCTAAAAAAAGAAGGGGGAAAAAAAACAAAAACCTGAGTGTGTCAAAATTTCTTTCAGCCTCTAATTCTAGTTACACAACACTGTCAGACCAGGATTTCCTCACCTTCTTTAGATCCCGAGCTACTCTAGCTGGGCTCCTACTAATTCCTTGTTTCTACATAAAAATGATGGTGTTTTTTTCTATACAATTAATACATTTATACAAATAGGCATAGGTTAGCTTTCCTAAGAATCCAGCATGTCTAAAATGTACAAACAAACAACAATATATGATTTATAAACACTGAGAAATGAAGACAGTCCATATATTCACTGCCCATGAGAAGGAACATTTTCAAAAGCAGAATGTGGGATATGAATTTGGTGCACTAAACTATGAATATTTACAGCAGGGAAAGCTTTAAATTCCTAATGGAGAAGAGAATGGCTTCAAAATGGAGAAACTTCTATATGTTTGATTTTAGTGGGGCATGTAAAATATTTAAGAGAGCTGAAGTATATGACCAATTTTATAAAGATTTTGTATTATCAATATATAAACAGTTACTTTTACTATTAAATAAAATTAATTCTGCTTTTAAAATCTCAGGCAATCTCATAATGCCTGACAATTGGTACATTTTCTAGGGTGCTCACTGCTAAGTAAGAATGCTAGTCCTAACCCCAATCCCAAACCAAACCCAAACCCTCTCCTACTCTCTTATCTCTTACTTCAGACACAGCACCTAAAGCAAAAAGCTCAATCTTCATGACCTTTCCCAAAGAACTGGAGTGACTATTACATTGATGCCTGTTCCATTTCACAGTTTCCACACAAGAACTAACAGTACTGGAGTGGAAAGATGACTCAGTAGTTAGGCTCATTAGTGGCTCTTGCAGAGGACCAGGGTTCAACTCCTAAGTGGCAGCTCTTAACCATCCATAACACCCATTCTGAGGAATCCAACACCCTCATCTGCGTCTTAAGGCACCAAGCACCAAGCAGTGCACAGACATACATGCATACAAAATGCCCATACACTTGAAAACAACAAATAAAATATAAAGAACTCAAGAGTACTAAAACACATAATAAGTACTCAACTATTCCAGTGAAACTTAAAATCCACCATATTATGCCAAGGCACATGAATAGCAAAAGAAACAAAAAGTACTGAGCTAGGTAAACTTTTAGTAGTGAGCTCCATGTGTGTTTTCCTATATTATTACAAAAGTCTCTAAGATGAAGGTGAATTGAGTAGATGTGAGTAGTATATACTCAGTAAATGTACAAAGATCATAAAATAGATTTGGCTGGCACATACCCAGTGAATTGAGAGTTTATTAGAGAAGCAGAAGGAAAGTATTAGATTAAGTGATGGAGTAAGAACTACTAAGAAACATACTGTGGAGTCAAAGTTGGTGCTGCAAAGCTCCAAATACATCATCTTTACTAATGAAATCACAAGCCAACAAGTGGCCTTTGTTGGTTTGTGTTTTGTATGTGGTGCAAGGGAATAAAACCTAGTGCTTCTCATACCCCAAGCAAATGCTCTACATCTTCAGCCCCAGAGTGGCCATTTAAAGGAAACTCTCAAAACTACCTTGATATGTATGCAAAGTTCACTGAGTTTGCCACAATGTGGATGAAATTGTCTCAACGCCAAGTGAAATAAAAATTGCCCCTTTCACAGGATCCCAGCTGTGGAGTTATTATCAGCAGACAGTTTCTCGGAAAGGAGAGTCACTTTTTTTCTTCAGGTATGTGGCCCCTGGTAGGATGACCGTGCTCCAGTGGACAGCCCAAACCCATGCACATACTGGTAGCACTAAGTGAACTCAGAGTTGGGGGGATCGGGGGCACGAAGCTGGGATAAAGAAAAGATGGGGAAGCTGTCTTGGAAGGAAGGAGAGAGCACAGAGTGCATTGAATCAAAACACAATATATACATGTATAAAATTTTCAAAGGAGGTGGGGGTGAGTTGGGGGTTGGTGGGGAACATGGGAGGGCGAGGGAATGGGGAGATGGATACATAACAGCACTTCTAAAATAAAAAAAAATCTAAAAAAAAAAGAAATGCTGAGATTAAAAACTCAAAATAAAAAACAATTTTTCAAAGGATAAATTCAAAATGTACTTAATGAAAACTGAAAAAATTTTCCCCTTCCAAAAACCTTTCACCTGTGTCCTTGGAATCTGCTGCTGTACTCACACGAATGGCCTTTTCACCTGAACTGATCTTAGAAAGCCTGTACCACAGAGACAGAACTCATCCAACCACTCCCACTAATGTAACTAACAAGAAGCTGTTCAGCAAGCTGCTCAAAGCTTTGCTTTAGACTCTTTTTAAAATTACTAACACAATATAGTGAAATACCTGGTAACATGCTATTACTGCTGCTGCTGTGAAAAAGATACTGTTAAAGAACAGCATCCCAATAAAGCAGAGCAGCAGTTTATCCCTCATAAAGTAACACTGGAAATTTCTATTCCAGTGTGGGATGGTGATACAGCTGGTGACCCCAGCTCTTGGGGAGTTGAGGCAGGAGGATGTCAAGTCAAGGCCTACCCAGGCAACTTAGTGAAACTCTATCTCAAATAAAAACACACAAAGACTAGAGATATAACTAAGTTGTTAGGGTACTTGCCTAGCACGTGATAAGTCCTAGGCTTCAATCCCAATACTGGTAGAGAAAATAATAATTCCTATCTTAATGTTTGGCCAGATTTTTAACATTTGAATAAAAATATGGAAAACCAAATAAATTTAACATAAACCCCTGTTGATTTAGCTAATAATGATGGACTTCTACTTATAGACAACTGGTCATACTTCACTTTCTCCCAGAGACAAATCCTAGGAGTATGGCACCGGGGTAAAAATTACTTCTGCCCTAGGTGTGGTAGATTTCTGACCCTGAGGTGTGAATAGAAATGCTGGCAAATTCATGTCTATCACCTGCACAAAACTCAAGTCCAAGTGGTTCACAGACCTCAACATAAATCCAGACACACTGAACCTTACAGAAGAGAAAGTGGGAAGTAGCCTTGAATGCACTGGCACAGGAGACCACTTCCTGAATAGAACACCAGTAGCCCAGACACTGAGAGCAACAATTAATAAATGGGACCTCCTGAAAATGAAAAGCTTCTGTAAGGCAAAGGGCATGTCAACAGAACAAAATAGCAGACTACAGAACGGGAAAAGATCTTTACCAACCCCACATCTGACAGAGTGCTGATTTCCAAAATATACAAAGAACTCAAAAAACTCGACATCAAAATACCAAAAAATCCCATTAAAAAACGGGGTACAGGTTTAAACAGACTTCTCAACAGAAGAATCTTGAATGGCCGATATACACTTAAAGGAGTGTTCAACATCCCTAGCTATCAGGGAAATGCAAATCAAAATGACTCTGAGATACTATCTTACACCTGTCAGAATGGCCACCATCAAAAATGCTATGACAGCCTATGCTGGTGAAAGGGGAACAGTCCATCACTGCTGGTGGGAGTGCAAACTTGTACAGCCACTTTGGAAATCAATATGGTGGTTTCTCAGAAAATTGGGAATCAATCTACTTCAAGACCTAGCTATACCACTCTTGGGCATATACTCAAAGGATGCACAATCATACCACAAGGATACTTGATCAACTATGTTCATAGCAACATTATTCATAATAGCCAGACCCTGGAAACAACTTAGATGCCCCTCAACTAAAGAATGGATAAAGAAAATGTGGTATATCTACACAATGGAGTATTACTCAGTGGGGGGAAAATGGCATCATGAAATTTGCAGGCAAATGGATGGAACTGGAAAAAAAATCATCCTGAGTGAAATAACCCAGACCCAGTGAAAGACCTCAGAAGAGACCCGCACCCAGGAATCAGCGAAACCACGAACTCTGGATGCAAGAACAGGAGGGTTTATTGATGGCGCCGGGCACCCGGGGACTTAGCTTTTTGTTAGGCTAAGCCCTGAGCCCCGGAAGGGGAGTCCTTTTATAGGGGAAAAAGGCACCGTAATAGTCAGGCGAAATGGCCTTTATCTTTTGCCGGTCCAGATGGCTGACCTTGGGACGGAGCGATCCGGCGGGGGCCGGGGCCGGCCTTGCGCGGCGGCGGGGAAGTGCCGGCAGCTGTGGGGATCAAGGGTCAGGGGGTGCAGGGGAGGATGTATTCGCCAGCTGCATGCGGGAAAACTTAAAAGAGAAAGCTAAGGGCGGGGGTCTTTCATTCCCCCATTTCTCTTGTAACTGAATGGAATCTTTCATTCAGAGGTCTCTGGATACTCTGGATCTATTTGCTTTAGCTGATGATATTGTTGAGTTAAGACTAAGGCCTGTACAACAGATAGTCGTTCTCTGATGAATTGAGTCAGTTTGTTCAGAATGCAGGGACCAAATATGAGGATCAAAAATAGAATAACCAGAGGTCCCATGAGCGTGGATATA